AGGATACTTTTCTACAAAACAGAAGTATATAGCAGCTACAAGCTCTCCACTGGTTGTACGACCAGCGAGAAAATTTCAGATGTGCCCAAAATAGCAGCTGGGCTATCGGACTATTTATGTGCGCTACATTTGGTTTGGTTTCATTGTTACGAAAGCGTAACTCGCCGCGCTGTACTTAGATGCAAAAACATGTGCATTTCAATGGAATCTGAATCAAAGTTGAAATTTGGAACGGACAGTCATGTGACAGTGATATGATATGTAAATGTATCCTTTCCGTTTGCTGTTACATAAATGATGAAAGAAATGTAGAACGTGTCGTAGACCACATGAGACGTAGAATGTTCCATTTATCATAAATATCACAAGTTAATAACACATTTTGGATTTGGATCGAAATTAATACGAAAATATGGAAAATATAATAATAATAATAATAAAAAAACAAAATAATAACTTTCGAGTTATAAGCAATTAGAATTGACTAAAAGTATCGCGTAGTATTTTTGTATACTCAGGCCTATAATTATTATACTTTCATGCAGTTACCGATCTGTCTATGCGATTTTTACAGCTTAGATAATATTGATTACGAAAATTTTATTAATCTACTAATTATTTTATTTTAAAAAATTATTAAATTATATGATAAACCCATTTAATATTTACATATATTTAAAGAATAGAGAATAAGATATTTTAAGAATAAAATTAATCTTTGCTTGAAGGAAAAAGAGAAAGTAATCTACATATTATATATTTTTTTATTTTTTTTATTCCGAGTGTAGTGAAATCATGTAATTACAATAAATCAAGAAAATGCGATTAAATTGCCACAAAAAAGAAAAGATGACTTAATTTTATAGTCTCTTGATTGATTAAAATACGAAATTTTGTTTTATTTGGAACAAAAATATAGAAAAAGAATAATGATAACAAGTTAATCTGTCTATAAATTTTTTTTTTAACAAAAATTAGTTTTGTTCCTTGAGTCAAACATTAGATTTTAATTAAAATATTAAATTTAATACGTATATAGTGAT